ACTAGTAAACGAAAACCCAAACCAACTACAAGAAAGTAAAAGGTTAAGGGTTACGGTAGGTTAGGTAAATAACTAATAAATAAGTAATAGTAATAGTACTATATATATATATATATATATATATATATTCACGGAAAGGTTTTACAGGAAATAAATTAAACTTAAAGTCAACAGATTAAAATTATAGCACAACACTTGCACACTTATCAGTTAAGATCCATTTCTTTCAGACATAGCCAGTAGGAAGAGGGCGACATTTTGGATTCTAGCAAATCCAGTATTGAAGGTTAATGTAGAGGTTCCTATACCTTACCCACTATGCAAAATATGAGTCACTCTTCCTATGGTTTACCATCATGCAAAATACGAGTCATTTCATTCTTTAACATGGAATCACGTTTTCCGTGAGTTACCACTATGTAAAATGCATATGTCACATTTATCATCGTCTACCACCATTAAAACCGATTTCCATGTTCCCTGGTTTACCATCGTCTAAGATACGAGTCATATTTCCCATGTCTTACTATCATACAAGATAAGATGCGCGCCACAATTCTCAAGTCACATAGTTATAGGAAAAGACAAAACAAAACAGACACATGGATACGTCTACACTATCCGTTCCTTTAATAGGGTGGTAGGGAATTTATAAATGAACTTGGATGTATATGTATATATATATTTCGTACTTACCTGTTTCCCGTAAGGCATTACAGATCAGGAAGTTTTGTAACCAGAATTTTCAAAGTAAAGTTTTAAATCCAACCTTGAAGTCCTATGTATACGATGTTTAAAAAAACAAGCACGTATTCATATGTGTTAATTTAGGAATAGAAGATAACCTAAATTAGGGTTAGCACGTGTATGAGTATGTATTAGAACGCCTTCAGTGAAACAGGATCCAAAGTATTAGAATTTTGTGAATAGGTGTTGCCTCTTTAAATATATGTAATACCATATCTGCTTGTGGACTTTTAAATGTCTAATGAATAAAAAAATGGCCCGGCATGGCCAGGTGGTTAAGGCGCTCGACTCGCAATCAGAGGGTCGCGGGTTCGAATCCCAGTCCCACCAGCCGTGGGGGCGTTATAATGTGACGGTCAATCCCAATATTCGTTGGTAAAAGAGTAGCTCAAGAGTTGGCGGTGGGTGGTGATGACTAGCTGCCTTTCCTCTTGTCTTACACTGCTAAATTAGGGACGGCTAGCGCAATAGCCCTCGTGTAGCTTTGCGCGAAATTCAAAAACAAACAAACAAACAATGAATAAAAATGAGAATGTGAAAGTTAGATGTATAAGTAATATACAGTCAGCTGGAGTTTTCTCAAGATTGTTTTTACGGGTAATTTGTTTTATTTTATTTTTTAAACTAAATGCAATGACTCTTATACAGGCTATCCGCTTATGATACTGTATGAATGACCATAAATACGTTAGTATTTCAGAGATCTAAGTGTTTGCACTAAAATAATATATAAGCGTTTAATATCATTAAAGGGACCGAACATTTTTAGTACAGTAAAAGCTTAAATGTAGTTTAAAGAAAACTATATTCCATGTAATAAACATGATTCAAAATAAGCAAAATGAAGTTAACAAGCTATTCTGGTGTTAAATATCTTTAATTCTATTGAAAAACTTCACATCCGATAAAAATTATATTAATTTTGGCGCTTCATATGATATGATTCTTTTTGATGATAAACTAAGAAAATGGGTTCTCGAATCTTCTGCAACGTAACAGAGGACATAACGTGAGTGTATATAAATTAAAATTATGACAGTAAATCTCCCATTGAAAACGTATTAATGTCATTGGATGATATGCCATTTGTTATCGACTATACTAGGAATTTGAAGTTTCAAGCCCATTGTAAAATTTATTACTTGATATGAATTGATGAATTTGATTAAAGAACTTTTTCGCCTTGAAACGTTTTGTTTAAGGCCAAACATTTCGTGTAAAACCTACATGTACACATGTAAACTTTTACTCTTACGTAAATCATGTAAGCTTTTACATCAGATATGACTTCAGTATGGGACTGAACACATGTGGAAATGATGCAAGTTTTAATGTGTTCATATGTTAAACCAGCTGTTGGAACTATATGGATAAGGATATTCAAGAAACATTGTACTGATCCGTGACGAACATATGACGTAAAGCTATTAATATAAGAAGTACATATAAATGACAAAATAATGCATTCTAAGCATTTTCAGTATTTTACTTATGACTAGACAAGTATATTAAATTTGCTCTATTATCTACCCAGTTAATTTTAACTTCTGATCTATATATATATAGCTTCTTTGGGTCATAAATAATTGTTTGAGGGGTCGAAGAGTGCGAGTAACCCAGAAATTCCTAGGTTTTATGCTTTAATGAATAGGTTAAGCAAACTGTCTTTTAATTTCTTTATAGATTTGGATACTATGTTACAATTTGTTTGTGGTTTTGGACACCATGTTTCAATTATTTTATAGATTTGAATACTATGTTACAATTTGTCTGTGGTTTTGGACACCATGTTTCAATTATTTTATAGATCGGAATACTATGTTACAATTTGTCTGTGGTTTTGGACACCATGTTTCAATTCTTTTATAGATTTGGATACTATGTTACAATTTGTCTATGGTTTTGGACACCATGTTTCAATTCTTTTATAGATTTGGACACCATGTTATAATCTTAAAAACATTGTTTAGGTTGTTTGTATAACGTTTTCTCTTATCATTAAACCCATGTATCTTTTTTATTATTTTACTTAGGAAGACCATGATATCAGATCAATCTCACTTCCAGGTCCTCCCATATCTGGGACTGGGTACTGAAGGTGTGCTTCTCCAAGATAAGGCTGCTTTCTTAAGCCTACCTCCGAGACCTCCAGTTGTTTGGAAACCACCAGGACTTCCGGCTCCTCTTATATCCAATAATTTGTACAATATTATATCATCTAACCCAAATTATTTGCCAAATATTTATTCCCTGAATCCTTTAAGTGCCCACACCTCCCTTATTGGACTCCCTCCTCAACTATGGCCACAATGGGCAACCAATAACTCTGGTGATTTTGGACATATAGGAATGATGACGTCACTTGAAAATCCTGACTCAATTTCCGGTTCTTCTCACATGACAAAAGTATTTCGTCCAGCAACTCATCATCATTCGAACTTTGTACTTAATTCCAATGTTCAACGATATACTCCCTATCACTTTACCAGGAAAGACTCAGAGTTGCCCTCTAGAGAATCGTACACGATCCAATCGGAAGTTCCCGACATGATCGCTTGAAAAGGCCGGTTGTTCGCTGTATAGGTACTACATAAATTATTCCCCAGTGCTGCCACCTATCATATAGTCAATGCGAAAATGGGCAACAAGAGTATGAGCCCTCTCTGCATCTTTAGCGTGTAGTATGAAAGTTACGGGTATAACTAGAAGTTTGTAAAGATGGATATTATATTTAACCTCTTGTAAAAAGAGGGAAAAATTATGTTGGGTTAACTGTATTAATACCATTAAGTAAATTGTTCCTACACTATTACGTAGGAATGTAAAACATTATAAAAACGCCCCCAGTCAGGCAGGGTTGACGAAGCTGAGGTTTTGTTTTAATTTTGGCCGGCTTGAAAATATAAACAATGTCTCTAGTCTCACTGGTTAATGATGAAACTGTGACAATCAATCTCAAGAGTTTGTGTCTATTCAAGTAATGGTAGATACGTGTCTCTCACCTACGACATATTGAATAACCTAAAAGTAATAACATTTAAACTTCGCATAATTAAACAATTGTAAAATAATGTAATTTTCATTTTGAGCCTGACGACGACAACATGTGGGCAGACTCTCGAAACGTCACTCTAATAAAAAAAAGTATTTCCTGTCAATGTTGTGGGTAGTCTCACTCATTTAAAAGCACTTTCTCTTGACCTCACGCATATACAATACATTATACCAAATGACGAATATAGTAAAGCAATACATTATGCCAAATCACGAATACAGTAAAACAATACATTATGTCAAATCAAGAGTATAGTAAAAAAAAAATACGTTATACCAAATCACGAATACAGTAAAACAATACATTATGCCAAATCAAGAGTATAGTAAAAAAAAATACGTTATACCAAATCACGAATACAGTAAAACAATACATTATACCAAATGACGAATACAGTAAAACAATACATTATGCCAAATCACGAATACAGTAAAACAATACATTATGCCAAATCAAGAGTATAGTACATCAATTGGAGAGAAAACTCGTTATCATAACCCAAATGTCTACTTAAATCTCAGTTGAAAATAAAATATAACCTTTTAAAAACCACATTTGAACCCAACTGTCTACATGATGAATCGTTCTTAAATTAATATATCACTATAGTTGACTTTAATGACTGTATTTAAAGAACTACAAATCTGGATGTTTTTAGAGAACCTAGTATTTTGAAATGATAATATTTACATATGTGTGCATTTCCAGTAGTGTAGAATTGGCGTCAATAAAAGTACCTTCTATAAAATTAAACAAGATTTATTGATGCTGACATCTTTGAGGAACGGTCATGGTTAATATGACGTAGACATCTTTGATAAGTGATCAAGATCGATTTGATGCTGACGTATTTGAAGAATGGTCAAAATTCGATATGAAGCAGTTGTCTTTAAGAGATGGTCAAGATTGATACTGAAAATAGATGGAATACAAAACGTTAGAGCATTCAGTAAGCGCAAAACATGTGCTTTAGAACGAAGCAATAATATGAACAGTAAACACCTTCAAATCCTGGGACACTTGTTTAAACATAAAATGTTTATGAGACACAGAGAAGGATGTTTTCTATGATTCATGACCGCATTATCTATATGTTCTAAAAAGATCTATAATGGGTTTCGAAAATTCCTTAATACACCTATCATATACAGCCATGACTTGTAATACGAAACGTATTAGTTAACCCCGAATAAAGTCCATACTATACAATGTTTAAACGTGCAGTTTCGAATAACAGTATTATTCTAAACTAGGACGATCGCTAAAGAGGGAGGGAGATAGATAATACATTTTGAATACTCCTGAATAAATACATCATATGCATTCATAACTTCTAATATGAAACATGTTTATTAACACCGAACAAGAAATTCCTTACCATCAAAGGTTAAAAAGTGTAGCATCACTTTCAATCTAAACCTTAAATCTTTAGGACGTTTTAAAGTGCAGCTGGCAGCTATAACAGCTTATAAAACTTTGAAAGTTAAGGAAACTTAAGCACTATATTTAACTGAAAATCAAACAAGCTAAACAGAGTTAGTGATCCACAAAGAAAGAGTAATTGTTTGGTTGTAAAAAAAAAAATCGACACCTTTCAATGCTTGCAGCTCACTCTTAAGAATTTAAATCTTCAGGTTTATAAGTTTTGATGACATAATTTTGTGTTGTTTTTAAGAGGTTAAATGATGATTGATCAATGTATTAAGTTTAACGTTTTATTTAGGTCTAAAGTTTATATTACGTTTACAACATTGCAACGTTTTTGTAAAGAAGTCACGTTGTATAACGAATAGCAATTACTTCTTCAATACATCATTTGATGTTATAATTTATTTATGAAATGAATGCTTGGGTTTAAAGTATATGTTGTAGTTCGATATATTTTAGCTCTGGAAAGCTTGAAGTGTTACTGCTGGCAAAAAAAAGACAGTTATTAGAAGCATATTATTGTCTCTTGGCCACTCCCCTCCCACCCCCACCTCCGGTGGCTCAGCGAGAAGTTTGAGAACTTATCACGCAAAAATCCTGGGTTCGTTCCCAATGTGCAGTTTTGTGCTTAATTAACAAAACCTCTTGATCAATTCAATATCCCTACAGTATAGTGATAAATATGAAAGCTTAGAAAATGATAATTAATAAAGCTTAAGAAAAATAGTCAGTATGGGTAACAAATACGTAATTATATTTTTAAACACGAGATGGATTTTGGTCGTAAAAGGGAAAAAGATGTGAAGCTAGGTTTTATCGCCAGATAGACTTCTATTTCTTTATTTTCAACCTCGTAAACTTACACTTGCCTGAACAAATTCCTTACTAAAAAAGAAGAAAAATAAAGAAATAAAAGTCCAGGCTATCCTTTTCTTATTGCTTGAGAATTGGGTCCGTAGCCCGACACGTTAATCTCTTGGCCCCTAGACCGAGCAAAAAGTACTCATGTACTTGATAATTTTAAAACAAAAATGTGTTTAAACAGCTGAAACAAGTCAAAGACAAATTTCACTTTTAATCGTCTATAAATTTTAGACGGTCAAAAAATATTGTAATAATAAAACAGTATTTGGCATTTATAACCTAGTTAAACAGCACTTTATGCGACAAATGGAGTAAACGGCGAGGTCAGTAACCAAAGGGTTCAATATTGCTGACCAGAGAGAGAGAGCAACTTGTCAGCAGCACCCACCGCCTACATGGCGACTTTTAACCGAATAATGAGATTGATTTACTTTAACAACATGTCTACAGATGAAAGTGCAAAGAGTGTTCAACGGTAATACGCTTCTAACTTTAGACCCTTCTATCAGTAGCCCGATACATTTATCTCTTGGCTGATCAACAAGTGTGTTTCAAAGGCTGGAACTGTCTCAAGACAAAGCTTGTGGTATCTCAATTATTTACGTACAATATCTGTATTAGAACCAGGTTATATATATTTGTATTCTATATGTTTATTAGGAGTTTAAATATCTCAATTTCATTAAATTCTTATATTTCACGATAGAAATAAGAAATTTCGACTCCTGCTTTGAGCTTCATTTCTCAAGGCTTTGACAATGATCCTGTTGTCTTAAAATACCACTGCTATCATGAAGTTGACTTTTTACCTGGAATATTAGTTTACAATTTTGAAAGTAATCTTGCCATCTTGAAAATAACTTTTTAGCCTTTGAAATATTATTGTAACTTTGAAAATAACCTTGCTTTTGTTTGTTTGTAATTAAGCACAAAGCTATACAATGGGCTATCTGTGCTCTGCCCACCACGGTTATCGAAACCCGGATTCTAGCGTTGTAAGTCCGCAGACATACCGCTGTGCCACTGGAGGGCAAATAATCTTGCAACATCGAAAGTGTCGTTTTTAAATGATCATCTTTCTTCATCATCATGAGTTTTTTTTAATCGAAAATCAAACTCGAAGTGAAAATATTCATAAGTGGATATAAGTTAAAATTTTGGCTTACGTTGATTTTTCCCTTGTTCATGACTTAAAAGCACGTTGATTTTTACCCTTGTTCATGACTTAAAAGCTTAATTTTTCTGTCTGAAGTAATGAAACGGTTAAGAGTGCTTTTCAGAAAAACAAATACTTGACTTTTCTTCAAATTAAACCTATTAAAATACAAGAATTAATTTCACTTTGTAACTAAGTATTAACCTTCCACGTTTCTTTCTTAGAATATTTATTTTGGTATATAACTTAATTTCGTGCCGTTAAAATGGTTTGGTTTTATGTTAAAACAGGTGAACAAAAAAAGTCGCACTTAACATCTTTGAAGAGAATAGAGTTTGTTCTTCTAGTTTGTTGAATTAGCATCTGAAAAAATTAAGATGTTTAAAGAAATATATGTAAATTTGTCTGTCAGCATTTTTTGTCTATAGTATTCCAGCAGAACAGTTAAGGAAAAAAAACCAAATTTCTTTATTAAACATTTTTATAGATACTATCGCTGTATGATGATGGCTGACAATGACGTCAGAGATCTTTACGTTATTAACCAGTTCAAAGTAGCATTTTACTAAACGCTAAATCCCAGTGTTCTAATTCATCGCTCAATAAAATTTAAAGAGCAGTCAGAATTTGTAATATTATAGTTATGACAAGGCAAAACCACAGTAATAAAATAACACCAGTCGTCTCCCCAGTTAATGTTAAATCATATGCATCTGATGAACAGTAATGTAATTAGAAATGCAGATGATGACTTGTCATTCAGCTTACGTTTGTAAATGAAGATTTTGTAGAGGTGATATTTTCACATCTTCAGAGTTCATGTTATATTTTACTTAAATAAGGGGCATAGTTACCACGAACTGTAAGGGCAGCCTAGCACTGATATTACATGCTTAAAATTAGAGTTTTGAGAAGATCCTGTGTTATCCTTGACCACTCATCTAAAGACGACAGCTTTCACAGAATCTATAATATCTGAATAACCAGATGAAATATGATTCGTCTCCTAAATTCATTCCATATTCGTCCTATGAGACTGAAGTCCAATTAGCGTGAAGGACACTCTTCGGTTTATCTCTTCTTCTTCAAGAAAAGTGTCGATCAGTTTAACACAGTGGGGTTGGACGCAATCAACCATTATACTTTTGTCAAATCGAATTGTACCAGCATTAATAGCACAAATAGTCCTAACATGTGGTTCCTATTATGTGTAGTTTTCTCAGGATGTAGTGGTAGGTGCCTTAACCAATGCTTATTCCTGCTCATTCCACACTTCCACCAATCCTGTACGTGTCACGTTCCTCTGTGAAAATGGGATGGCTCTGGTTCCAAGTTATTTCCGTGTGAATATAAACCTGTCTTCTGGACACTTATTGAAACTTGACTCATCTGTGAAAAGAATATTTTTGGTTCACTGGACGAGTTTTCGGCACCATTGCAGGCGACGTGTTTTATTATTCTTTTATTGGCTTTACTATAAGTGAAACGCATTTCGCAGGGCGTTTGCATGTAAGCTAAACTTGTAGAGTCTGTTTCTAACCATCAATACGCTGTTTGCATATCCAGTTGCAGCTGCCAACATCGGAGCCTGTACACCTATGACTGCGGAGATCGGTAAT